TTCTCCTCCTCCTCCTGTCCTCATCCCCCATGCCTCCTCCGTGACCTCCTGCGGCCACTTAGAGAGCCTCCCAAGACATCCCACTGGCTCTTGCACATCGGCGCGACCAGACACTTAATCGACGCTGGTCAACGCTACGTTGGCGCTATATTATCGGTTACTGGACGCTCATGAGCGCTGATAGTCGACGCTGAATACGGAATTGAGAGGGTATACAAGGTTCCTACGATTTGCTATCGAACTCATCTCTCGTCTCCACATGGCGGACAGACAACCCCCGCACCACACGAACCAGCACTGGTCAAGAAACCATGGACCTGTCCTCAAGAAACCATGGAATGGGTCAGAACTGCGGCAGCACTGGAGACCCAGTGACCGACATTATGTCATGTATGTGGCTTCTCTTTCCCACCACCGCAGCAACTGGGTCAACGATAGCGGGTTCGACGAAGTCGATCCAGGGGTGAAGCGCTCCCTAAGCGCACGTCGCATGCCGAGATGCATAGAAGCAGACCTGCGCTGTGCTAGTGGTGAGGATGTGGCCAAGGGTTGCTGCCCTATCCGAGGCGACTGCGCCTGCGTCCACTGCGATGGCTGCTGCTCCGTGCGGCGTGCCTCGCCGCCCTCGCGCCGCTGCAAGGCTGCGGGGAGCTCGCAGAAGGATGAGCGGGGGAGGAAGAGTTATGTCGGAACCGTCCCCCTACGGGGCCTTTTCGACGAAAAACTTTTGAAAAAAAAAAAACAAAATTACCCCAAAAAGGTCAAACAATACTAACAAAAATAATCCCCAGACTATGTTTGGAATATGTTTTGGCTATTTTTCGGGGTATTGCTTATTTTTCGTCGAACATCCCCCTGTAAGGGGACAGGCCCGACTTGAAGGAAGAGCCTGATCTGCGAGGCGGGGATTTACCCGCATCCACCGACTGTGAACCGACGTCCTGGTGGCGCACTGGGCGGTGGATGCGGATATATCCGGCCGCCCCCCAGGGCCCGAGCATGTCCATATCCACCGCCTGCCATGACGAACGAACAACACACACCCATACCCATAGGGAGGTCGGAGGGAGGAGGACTGGCTATGGGTATGGGTGCGGGTTGTCGGACCCCTGAGGAGGCTCCCGTTCGAGCGGGGACCCCTATCCGACAACACGCACCCATAGCTCATTCCGTCTCCCCTATGGGTATGGGTGCGTGTTGATCGTTCGTCATGCCAGGGCCCCCGAACATGGATCCTCCAGGCGGTGGTCATGTAGAAATTCCCGCCCCGGATGATCAGGAGCATGAGGATTAGGGCCGCGTAACCAGCGACTCTGCTCCACCAAGACGCTGGTGACCCGAGAGGCAGCTGCAACCGTGGGTAGAAACCTGTGCATGGTTGGGCTTCTTCCGCCGAGTTTGGCAAAATCCTGGCTTGCAGAATCCTTGTTTGGCGGCGCGCAGAAGCGGGTGGAGAGAGGGGGGAGGGCTTCTTAGAAGGAGGCTGCTTCTTAGAAGGCACCGGCCTTACATCTATAGATAAGGGCCACGCATTCTACGAAGCAGTGGTGCTTCTAAGAAGCCCTCCCCCCTCCCCCCACCCCCCCTGCGCGTGGCTGACTTGTCTCGGGGCCCCGAGGGGAGCATGCAGAGCAAACCGCAAAAGAAACACAAACGGCGGACCTACAAAGCCGAAGTTCCGCGACTTTCCGGTGGCCCGGTCGCGAATGACTTGGGACTCCGTAAGCTCACCGAACTTGCTGAAGTACTCCTTGATGTCTGAGTCCTCCGCCTGTGAGGAGGAGGAGGAGGAGGAGCAGGAGGAGGAGAAGGAGGAGGAGGAGGGGGAGGAGGCAGGACATCAGCCATTGCTGATGCATCGTCGGTGCGCCCCAGCTGAGTGAGTGCCCGCTGCTCGTCCTTCTCGCCCCTGCCTCGATGGCTGCCATCCTGCCGCACCACTGCACGCCTGCCTGCCGACAACCTCGTGCACAGCTCTCGCTGCCCGCACGCGTGCCCAAGTTCACCGATTATGTCTTTTCTCCCCTGCGTCGTGCACAGCACTTCGGTCACCTAGCTGGCACAGAAAGCCTTCGCCTCCGTGGCTCGGCCTGACAAAGCAGAGGCAACGGGACAGGGAGCACTTTCCCTGACCATTGAACCTCCCAGGGCATCGCGCCCTGGAAAGCAACGGACAACATACCGGCCGCCATGGCAGTGGCAGGATTGCGGGGGGGACCTCCCCCCAAAGTGCGGAGGTGTCCTTCATTGCGTCCTGGGCTTCCTCAGCGCAACTTCGGTGAGCTGGACGGCCGCTGATGCATCAGCGACGTCGACACGGAGAACACCGGGATCCTGGATAGGGCTCGAGACATCCTAGATGGGGCTGGAGCAACACGGGCTCAAAGCGCATCGCTGACGCATCGGAGACGTCGATACGGAGAGCATCGCGATCCTACATGGGGCTGGAGGCGTCCTAGATGGAGCTGGAGCAAAACAGGCTCAAAACTCGCGCTGCATCGCTGTTGCATCAGCGACGTCGATACGGAAAACATCGGGACCTTACATGGGGCTGGAGGCGTCCTAGATGAGGCTGGAGCAACACGGGCTCAAAGCTGGCGCTGCATCGCTGATGCACCAACGACGTCGATACGGAGAACCTCGGGATCCTGGATCGTGCTGCATCCGATACATCGGCGCGTTGCGCTGTGACCCCAGAGCCCCGCTTAGGAGGCCTGGACCAACCTGCCAACCGCGCCTCCCCCCCCAGACTGCAACAGCCCCGCTGACTCCTCCTCCGACGACGGCGACGACGACGACGCCCGCTGCTCCAAACCTCCTCCACCTGCCCTTCCTCCGCTGCATCCTCGTCCCTCCGCTTCCTCCTTCTCCTCCTGCTCCTCCTTCTCCTCCTCCTCCTCCACCTGTCGATGGCCCCTGGCAGGTTGGTGTCTTTCCTGCCAGGGTGACAAACAGGTCCACTCCGAAGGTCCCCCCTGGGCTTTTTGGACCGTCGAAACTCTTCCGCCCTTTCCCCTCAGTGGCGTGCGATCCTCCTCCTCCTCCTCCTCCTCCTCCTCCTCCTCCGACTGGGCTCCAGCGGCCCCTCCTCCCTCCTCCGGCTGCTCCCCACCCCTTCTCCCCCCCTTCACCGCTGCCCCCTTCTCTCGCCCAACCCACCCCCAAGCAAAAGGACGATGCAAGAGACTGGCATGTGCTTCATCCGCGAGCGCAGTCACTCTGCCTAGCCGCTGAAGCAAAAAAAGAGATGGAGCACGGGGAACAGGAGAAATGAGAAGAGAAGCATCAGAGAGGAGCGCGAGGGGAGGAGCCCCAGGATTCCCCCCCCGGACCAGCGTGGCGTCCCGCGCCGTCGTTTGATGGCCCTGGGGCCCTCGAGGGGGCCCCGACGGACGGAAAACAGCCAACCTCGAGACACGACTGCCTTCCGGGCCTTTTGTCTTCACGGTGGGGAGAAGACCAGGGGCTCCAAAACTAAACCCCTGACCTGTCCTGGATGGCGCTCTGGCAAACCAACCTTGCGGAAACCTCTCCGCCTTGGTCTGGTTCGGATCTTCTTGCCCCCTCGACGACGCAAACCTCCGAGGATCTGTTTGCCTTTGCAAGCGCGGCGTTTTGCCCTTCACCTCGGCCCCACAAGGGACAATGTGATCTGGGACGCAAAAAACACCCCATGTGTCGGGAGTTCTGAGGCCGCTGACGGAAGAGATCGTGCCAGATAATGTCTTTCGAGGGGGATGCGACGAGACGTCCAGACAGACGAGACGAGACGAGCGCAGGAGCCCCGCGCGCTCCGATGAGAAGCCCGCCCGCGCACACTGGGCCATGGATGATTGGAGGCCGTGGAGGAGACGGGCGCCGAGGAGGGAGGGGGCGAGCGCGAGAGCGAGCGTCCATCTGGCCCTGCTGCAGGTAAAGACGCGCCCATCCGGTCGGGCCGAGAGGGAAGAGGAGGTGGACGAGGAGGAGGAGGAGGAGGAGGAGCAGGAGCAGTAGGACCAGCGTAAACCCAAGACTCATCAACAATGTTGAAATACACCCTCCCTCCAAGATCCCTCTTCACAATCTTCTACAAGGGGCCATTTCCATTGAAAGAATTGCCTCGTAGGGGGACAACCGTGCTTCTATTTTGAAGCAAGCCAAAACATAATTCTCAGGATTGCAACGCCACGAATTAACCAAACTGTTACGCCTTGGCGATCCGGAATCGTGCCAGAGCGCCATTCCTGGGAGTACAACACAGCGAATCAACGTAACTGTTGCACCCTGACAATCCTGAATCGTTCGAGAACTCGAGAACGCAGTTTCTGCTAATTACGTTAACCATGAGAACCAGTGAAACTCTTGCGCGCGGCGCTCGGGCGAGAACCACATGTTGAAAAGGAGCCACCCTCGGACTTAAAAACCCTTGCACTTGTTTACAACGAATGTGCGCGGCGCTGACGCGAGAACCAAACTTTGAAAACGACCCACCCTCAATCCGTGAAACACTTGCAGATGTTACATCGAATGTGCGCGGCGCTGAGGCGAGAACCACATCTTGAAAACCATCCGCCCTCAATCCGTAAAGCTCCTGCATCTTTCTAAAACGAATATGCGCGGCGCTAAGGCAAGAGCCACACTTTGAAAACCACCCGCCCTCAAGCCGTGAAGCTGCTGCAAGTGGTCACAAACGACCGTGCGCGGAGGAATTGCCCGTAGCGGTGGCACGGGAACGGCGCACATGCAACGCACCATGCTTGGACCCCCCCCCTCAGGCCCCACTTCAACACGGTACGGCGCACCGCTTCGGCAAAACTACACGTCGTTCATTTCTAATCGTGCTGATTTCTAATTGTGCTCGTTTCTACTTGTTCCTGGCCCCCCAGTGGCCAGGAAGAGGCCCTGGGGCCCGTGATAGAACAATCAGACATGAAAGGATCTCGGCCCCCAAGTAAACCAAAGAACTTCCGAATACTTAGGAATGAACAGTGTGCATGTACGGTAAAAAAAATCCGGGGCCGAGGACAGACGACGCATCGGGGGACACGCCAACGCGGCTCGGTGCACGCAGGCCGTCCGCACGCCGCAGCGAAACAACAAACGGGACGCCCGGATCTCGGACGGGGGCAGGCCAGCCCCCGCCGCGGGCGGCATCCCGCCCACAGAGAGCCCGCGGGGCCCTTCGCCGCCGTCGCCGCCGCCGCCGTCGCCGCCGTCGTCGTTGTCGCCGTCGCTGGCGTCGTCGTCGTCGTCGTCGTCGTCGTCGTCGCGCCGCCGCCGCCGCCGCCGCCGCCGCCGTCGCCGCCGCCGCCGTCGTCGTCGTCGTCGTCGTCGTCGTCGTCGTCGCCGTTGTCGTCGTCGTCGTCGTCGTCGCCGCCGCCAGGGGGTTGATGATCCTCAGGACGTGTGTTAGCCGCAGCGTGTGTTGACCCCGTTCGGCTCCGCCGATAGCGCGCAGTCGGTGTCGGCCCTCGTCGAGGCGCCTGCGTCGCATGGAAGGGCCTCGGCGGACAATCACACGTTAGCGCTAACACATGGCCGATCCAGGAAACCCTGAACCCAAAAATGTTGCCATCTCTTTGAGGGTGGACTCTTGCTTCTGCCAGCTTCCGCCGAGCTTCCGCCTGCTCCCGTCGGCGGCGGCGGCCCCGTTCCGCTTCCGCCGCCCTCCGCCGACCGCCCGCCGCCCTCCGCCGCGGAGGCGATGGCAGCTTCTTAGGAACCTCGGCGGCACGGCCCTTTCTGGAACGCCTCGCGTGCTCCCGGGATCATTGAGGGGGCCCCAGGACACGCAAACAGATACACACAAATGACAGGATCCCCCACATTCTCCTCATCTGTTCTGGGTGTGGGTCTTCCCCCCACTTCCCATATTCTCCCACATTTTCCTGGGAGTCGACGATTGCTTGTGTCTGTGACTGTTTCTCTCCCCCCTGAATCATCGAGGGAGGCAGGGCGGCCCCCGCCTCGGGCGGCAGCCCGCCCACGAACAGCCGGACCTCGGCGCCGCGACGCGCGGGGCCCCCTCGCCGCGGCGGGCGGGCCCCCCCCCGCGGGCGGGCCGCCGCGCGGGTCCCGCGGCGAGGGCGCCTCCCCGCGGCGCCGCGCTCCGAGGCGCGGCCGCGCTGGGTGCCTCGACGCCCACTGACGCGGCGGGCCCAGCAGCCTCCCAACGCCCTCGCGCGGCACATCCGCTGTCCCGCGGAGCCGCCGTCCTCTTTCCCGGTAGGCTCCAGCTGCACACGCCGAAGGAGCAAGGGCGAAGGGAAGGGACCCCGCCCACAGCGCCAGGCGCCCAGCATCCTCCCGGCTGGGCTGGTCGATCTGCTCGTCTGTCGGTGCCAAGCTTTTGATCGGCTTGGCACCTCAATTTGTCAATCCGCCTGGCCGCAGACGTACAGCAAGCAGCAGTTATGGGAAGGCAGTCCCCCCCCACCCTGAACCCAAGGGAGGCACCTGCTATGAGGGCGGGAGGGCATTGCGCGACTTGTCGGTGAAGACTGAATTGGAGGCCGCGCTCGTTAAGAGTGGCGGGTCCAGCGCAGGCAGTCCAGCGCAAGGAACACCTGACAAGAGTCGATGCCTTCAAGCGTCAAACCTCATGGGCATGGCCAGCGGGCCTCTCACCCTGACGAGGGTCCAGACCCGCTGAGGTTTCGCAAGAAGTCTGGGCTTCGCCCAGGCGAAAAGGAAGCGCCTCATAAACGGTGAGGGCATTTGGGCGGCGCGCACAAGCGGGTGGAGGGAGGGGGAGGGCTCCTTAGAAGGAGGCTGCTTCTTAGGAGGCGGCGGCCCTACATCTACAGACAAGGCCCGCGCCTTCCAAGAAGCAGGGGTGCTTCTAAGAAGCCCTCCCCCCTCCCCCCACCCCCGCTGCGCGTGGCTGAGCATTGGCAAAGTTAGGCTAAGGAACCATGAGATGAGGGCCCCGAGGTCTGGAAGCCGGTGAAACTCCAACCATGGACTCCTCCTCCTCCTCCGAGGAGGAGGAGGAGGAGCAGGAGGAGGAGGAGGAGGAAGAACGGGCAGGCCTTCTCAAAAGGCGGCGGAGCTCCTGAGAGCGGCGGCGACCGAGGGGGGGTAATGCGAAGGAGCAAGCTTGCTCAGAAGGCGGCGGGACTTCTCCGAAGCCCTCGCGCCGTCTGAGAAGTTCTGGGTTGTCTTCGGGGAAGGCTTGAAACACTTCTCAGAAGGCTGGGGGTCTTCCGAACCTTCTGAGAAGGCCTCCTCCTTCTCACTTCCCCCCCTCGCTCGCCTCCTGGATCTGCTGACCCGGGTCAATCCAGACCCCGGTCAGTCAGGCCTTGCCGAAGCCTGCAAGATCCTGCAAGATCCTGCACCCAATACTGGGTCCATGCGAAGGATCCTGCAGCAGGATCCTGCACCCAAGCCCGGGTCAATGCGACCCTGGCCCTGCAAGATCCTGCAAGATCGGGCGCTCTGGCTAACGCCCATTAGCATTGACCCCCGTCCGAAGGCTCCCGCTCTTTGGAGTCCCGAAACGGTGCGGTGACAGACCGTGCGGTGACCTCGAAATCCCCCAGGACCTCACCGCACGGTCCGTCAACGCGCGGTTCTGGGACCTCGCATGCCCCAGCCGCCCGAGACGTCCTCGGAGAACGACCCGAGCCCCAAAACCGCGCGGTGACCCCGGATCCCCCACCGACTCGCCGCACGGTGTGGTCACCACCCCGCCGGGGGGCCCCCGATGCGCTCGCCGCCTGGGAGAGGCCCCCTCCGGCCCTCTGCGAAGGCGTCGCGCAGTCTTCGGTGAAGCATAGGCTCGGGGATCCTCTGACCCGGGTCAATCCAGACCCGGGTCAGCAAGAAACCAAAAACTGCAACGCAGGAAAAAAAAAAAAAAAAAAAAATGCAACGCAAATCCTCGCAAATCCGGGTCAGCCAATACGCGCGGCCGCCTCGCGGCCACGAGCGGCTCGCTAACCCGGGTCAGCCAGAGGGGGTCTTCGCAGGATCCTGCAGGATCCGGCGCCCTGGCTGACCCCCGTTTGCATTGACCCCCGTCTCAAGGCTCCCGAAAGGCTCCACCGGGGCACTCCCTGGGCAGGCAGGAGGCCTCCCGAGCCTCTTCTGTGCAGGCCCGCCCTCTCTGCCCTTCCCCCCCGGGGGGCTCGCCGCCGACGTCTGGTCCCCATGTCTGCCGGAGCGAGGACCGGGAGGCAGAGGAGCCTTCGACTTCGAGGCTCGGGGATCTCGGGCATCGTGGGCTCACTCCTTCATCGGGCAACCAAAAAAGGAGCCCCTAAGCCTTTGGGAGGGGACCCAAATTAGGAGGGTCAAAGGTTTTAGGGATAGGGGTCTTTTGCTGCAGATGTATCGAACCAAACCGACCATCCATAAATATATATATATATATATATATATATAGATGTCACCCCTACTATACAAAAACGGGGACCTCAGTGAGGCCACATCTTCATCATATTATCAGGGTTAGGGGTTCTTGTGTTCTCGAAGATTAATCACTGGCGATGACGCCCGCTGCTGGCCCCGCCAGACCCCTCCTCCCCCCTGTTGGTGACATCTCGGTTCTCGCCGGCGCCGCCTGGGAATTGGACATGCCTGCGCACTCCCAGACGGCGCCGGCGCGAATCGTGACGCGGCCCCCCCCTCCGCCCACCGCCCCCACTCCACGGTCACGCCTGCAATCGCCAGGGGGCTCAAGAATTGGAAACTCATCTGTGAATGGGGCCCCAGGACACACAAATAAATACACACAAGTAAAAAGATTCCCCATATTTTCCCATATTTTCCGGGTTTCTGTCTTCCCCCCCACTTCCCATATTTTCCCATCTTTTCCTGCGAATCGACGATTCATTGTGTCTGTGTGTTTTTCCTCTCCTGATCGAGGAGTGAATGCATCGAGGATCGGGCGCCTGTTGGATCGAGGAGTGAATGCATCAAAGATTGGAAGCTCGTCTGTTGGATCGATGATCGAGGAGTGAGGAGGAGGAGGAGGAGGAGGAGGAGGAAGATCGAAGATCGGGTTGGAAACTCATCTGTTGGATCGATGATCGAGGAGTGAATGCATCGAGGATCGCGCGCCTTGGGCGCCCA